CGTGTAACGTTACACCTGATCTTGAAATTTGATTGGCAAAAAATCACGTGTCCGGAAAATTTTGTTGGTGCTGCAGGGGAAGTCTATTAAAACGTCAAAATCACGTGGGTACATGGCTTTAGCCATCCCCCGTTTTAGTCAAAAGGAAAAAATAAGCCGACTTTTACTTTGGTTATATACCAGAGATGAAATATTTAATAATTTTCGAACTGATCATAAAAATTTATTTTCTTGCCTTCTTGTAAACTGTCTATGGTGTAGAATTATTACACCAAAATTATTTCATTGATAAAAGACTTATAAAAATATATCTTTTAGTATTAAATACCGAACAAGCTTTATTGATTCCTTTTGGAAGTATTCTTCCAAATTATCCAAGACCATTATTTCATTACGAAAGTTATACTACATCTGTTGGTTCTTGTTTGACCAATGGAGTCAAAAATTGGCTTAAAAGTGAAAGATATAATGTAAACTATTTCTAAAAACCCAAACTTGCAAATGCTATCAAATGCACTTTAATTCAATGTTTCTGCGAGCAAGTAAAAATCTTAAATATTTAATAATTAACAATACTAATAATAAAACAACGTTAGTAGATGCACTTTGCAAAAACTCCACGCTAACTTCTTTGGATCTTGGTTATAATGATCTTGGATCTGAAAGAGGAAAAGCGTTAGCTGATGCGTTTTGCAAGAACATTACATCTTTGTGATTTCGAGATATTAATCTTGGATCTGAAAGTCAAAAGCGTTAGCAGGTGCACTTTGCATGTACACCATCTTAGATTAGAAGGAAGAAAAGCATTAGCAGACGCACTTTGCAGGAACACTGCTTTAGAACTTTACAAGAATAATCTTTTATATATAATACAGTATCATTGAATTATTATCAAAAATACAATTTATACAGTATGTAACCAGAATTTACTTCATTAATTGATAACAAATTTACTTCATTAATTGATAACGAATTTACTTCACTAATTGATAACGAATTTACTTCACTAATTGATAACGAATTTACTTCACTAATTGATAACAAATACGAATCCTTATTAGTAGAAAACAAATATTTTTTCAAATTGAAGTGAAACAAGAATCACGGACTTATGGTTTAGTTTTCTTAGCACAATAGGAAATTAACATGAAAGTTTGAAAGAAATAGCAAGAACGGTTTTTCTCAGTTTAAAATGTTTTATATAATGTTGGAGTTTATTCTAAGTACATAATTTCGTTAATAATTAATAAAAAAAAACGCGATAATTTTCAAAAAGCTATCATGCTCCTAATTTTGAAACAAAATAAAAAAAGAGCCACATATAAAACATATAAAAATAAGTAATGGTAGTAACAATATGAGGCTTATTCATAAAATATTTATTCAATTTCATGTAGCACTACTTTTATATGATGCCCTATAAAAAATACTTGTTCTAAAATTGTTCGGAATGGAGTCGATTTTTCGAATAGGGGTTTATTTTATAATGAAAATAGAGAATTTTTGATTGAATATTTTTTCTATAAAAAACATATAAAATCCAATAAATATCCTGCAAATGTTCGAAACGGGGTCAATTTTCCAAACAAAAATCAGATAATTTCAGAATATTGCACTAGTTTTGAATAAAATTATACAAATAGCGTCACTTGACGTCTCCAAATAATTGTTACTTCGGAGGGTTTTTTTAAAAAAAATACTAACTTGTGACAAGCAATTATAGATGTAAAAAGGATTTATATTTGTCAATCTATAGTACAAATGTAAGAATGATAGTTATTATACAATTTTAGACAATATTATGACATGTTTGCTACAGTAACATTTTTCAAAATCATTAAAGTATATAATAAGTTACGTAATATAAAAAACGCATAAAGAATGTTATCCAGTAATCCCTATATTATTCACAGGCCCATAATTTCCATACCACCTTCCCTCCATAAACCCCCAAGCTTCATAGAACCAGTTCTTGTAGGAACTCTGCGTAGATTGATTCAATAATTGTTCTTGTTCAAGTGCAGTCCAGCATCCTGAAGCAAGTTCTCTTTTTGTAGCCAGGCCTTCAGCCGTTGAATTCCGAATGACTCTGACCATTGGCAATCCCTCTTCATATTCAGAGTACACATTTTTAATGGCTTTTAACTTATTGATATCCTTAATCTGATGGATCATTATGGTTTCGGCCAAGTGGAGGTCAAGATTCTCGTCAAAGTCATGAATGGGATTTTGACGGATGGACACCCAACTTGAAAAGCCGACATAATGTACGAAGTACATTTTTTCCCTAGCCACATAACATACCCACTCACCCACTAGCCAGTCCTCATCGCCTACTACATATGAACTAGCCCAGTCAGTTCCAACAATGTCTATAACAAGGTCACGAGAGAGTGTGTATCCGGCACCTAATCTCGAATGTAAGAAAAGTAGATCAAAAATTGCAATAAAGTGTTGATGATAAAAGGTTATAAAAAGAGAATAAAAAACACACCACCCATGTAAGAGTATGTTCCATAATAATATCCTAGAGCATTGCCATAGTACACACGTTCTCTCGGTAAGTCCTGAAGGTCACGATAGTAGTGAATAAGGTGGATGAAAGTATCATCGTCCACTTTGGTCATATAATTATCCTCCCTCTAAACGTATTCGAAGTAATGAATACTTATTGATCTGCGCTTCTTTAAAACAAGACACTAATACTCACATGCTTAGCAAACCAACTGAAGTATTCAAACGTTTTTCCTTCGTTCATGTTCTCCGTGGTATTCAAAATAATAATATCTCCGTACATTTTAGACTCTTCCTCCAACTTATCCCTATATTCATCTTTTGGCAGCCCCAAAATAAACTTAATAGTCACAGGCGATTTCTTGACTCTAAGATACCGCATCAGAGCATTATTATTGTGTGTGTACAACTCGCGCAAGCACATCCTAGTTTCAATCTTCTCATAATAGGTCAAAATCCCAATAAAGATAGTTAAGTTCCGATCCACACCAAAAGGGGGTTTGATGTAGGTATTATCTGTGACATGCATTGGCGGGACAGTCGATTTTAGTTGAAGATAGTATGAAGAGTAGTAAAACAAGAAGAGGTTTAGGCCAAGGATGAAGAAATGGCCGCAGTATCTATAGATCAAGGGTTTGTGCATTTTAAATCAGAAGACGATACGTTTGGGTATTCGACACGCTATATAAATCAAAGATCTAATCGTATAAAATTTAAAAAATTTTTATATTGGTATATGATTTTCAAAATATTTAATCATATGAATGCCGCCAAAGGAAAATGTCCTTTCGGACTTTCAATACATTTTGACCGGACACAATAGAGATGGGTAAAGTAATAATGTAAATAATAATTATTTTTTTACCTCAATACTTACATATTATTACTTATGATGAATGATTATTACTTATCACATTTTACAAATGTAAACTGGAAAGCAAATTGTAATATGCTGATCATGTTAAGTTTTTGCTTATATCACAATTCTTTGCTTATTATTACGCAAAAAATGAAAAGAAATAATTGGAAACAATAAATAATAATCGTTAACTAAACTTGCCCATCTCTAGGATACAATCATTAATAAATTAGATTGTGTCCGGTCAAAATGCAGTTGAAAGTTTTAAGGGACATTTGCCTTTGGCAGAACAGTCTTTATAACCAAAGCTTTGTGATCTCAAATCGATATTAAGTCTTAAAAAAAAAGAAAGTCACAGAACAACCTTAAGTTAGAATCAACTTTTAAATTTTCATATATAATATAAAACACTTCTGTAGCTTTGTAAATTTGTACTCGAGACTTTCGAGGTTTGGACTAGTTAAGAAATCTTTCTTTTTAGAATTTTTTTTAAAGACCTTTTTATTTTCAAAACTTGCAAACTAAAGTTTTTATTTAATTGTATTAATCATGTATGTTTGTTTTATGTTATGTATGCATGTACATACTTGCGTTGTGACGAGCAGATTGGATCGAAAGAGGGCGTTGAAGATTCGGTCCGGGAACCAGAGATCCTACGACTACACTATAATCCACGAGGATGGTTAGGTTGCTCCTTACTTCAATACAATTCACTTTTCCAGTTGCATGTAGGCGAAGGGTCTTTATACATATTAGATATATTGGGGTTTTTGTTATTACACCCAGCATTAATTATACCATTTAAAAACCAGAGGTTTCGCCTCAAGCTAAACTTGAAATAGGCATATGCAAATCATTACGTATTAGACCCCTCTGATCAGGTGGCATTGGTCCCGGCCCTTGATCATATGCTTGAAGCCGGATTGCATCTTTCCATCACAATGTACGTTAATACGTACTGTACGTACGTACGTACGTACGTACTTACGTATCTACTAGAATTGCAGGTGAAACTAATTTTGAGTTTCGTTATAGTTTCAACTGAGCTCCTCGTTGACTTTTATATTTATTTTCACCAATTTCATCAGCACTCGCCAAATTTTCACCAGTTTCACCTGCAACTCTAGTACGTGAAAGGTTCCAGACTACCGTCCGGCCCATTTTTTTTTTCTATTTTTCATAAAAAGCTCACGTATACGTATGTATAAGTTTTAGTTGGTATATATTTTTTGTAAAAAAATCAAACCTAAAAATGAAAAGTAGAAGGAAAACATGTCCGTAATTGTAAAATTGTACAAGTTCAAACTTATCGAACTTATTGGATTTATCGTCCTTAATGAATATGGTGATTCTATTAGCTTTAGTGAATAAGTTTATAATATACCTAATAACCATAGAGATGCTATAATACTTCGAAATATTACCAGTAAAATTTTTATTAGTATTATATCCCTTTGATATAAAACCGTTACTCTTATTTTGTGAATTTTCTTATCGCTGAGACTATTGTTAAAATCGTTACCCGTTAAAGAAAAATGAGAAACATCACTATGTAATTAATAGACTGATCATATTCGTGACCCATGACATGTGGTAAGCTCACGATCAAACATACTAGTAGAACCTTGTCGCAGTAATTCTGAGGAAAAGAAAAGAAAGAACATATCATATCTTAACCCAGCATAGCTATAGCAAGATCCGTTCGGACCAAGTCTATCCACGCCTCTATTATCTAGGGTATCAAGCCTTAGTAGATAGTTTTTAACGTTAGATATTAGTTTGAATATTTTATTATTTATGTTGTACAGCGGAATGGATTTAGGTTATAATAGAATCCTGAACCGTATTCGAATTGTTAAAGAATTCAAATTCAACTCAATAAAAATTAAATGGATTCTAAATTATTTTATCGAGTATGTGTTGCTTTGGAATTTAGTCACTTTAAGGTTATTTAATTAAAATCATTACATAATAAAGTATTTATATTCATGATGGCAAATTCATTTTTTTATTTTTTTTTTATATTTTAATGATTTTTATTCAATTGCATTTAAAATTATTCCCTGTGATGGTTGCATTTTGATGTTTCTCAAATGCTTATAAATGTTAAAGGAATATTATCCACCTGAAAACTTGTCAGAACCCAATGAACACAAGTAGATTTGTGCTCAATTTTCTAATAAATTAAATTATAGGATTTGCTGGTGTTTCAAAATCATGTATAGCAAACGTATTTTTCATCCAATAATAATCCTTTGCGTTTTCATTATTGCACTTGCTGTATTTTGTTAACTTTAATATTGAAATCAAAGTCTTCATACGTATGCAATTAAGATTTTCACATTGTCAATTACAGTAGTAGTCGATTTCCTGCTAAGGTATTTGCAAAGCAATTCAATAAATATACTACGAAAGAAAAAAGGATTCAATTATCGGATGTAGAATGAAAAAAAATAATAAAATTTGCATTTAAATATTTGACAATTTATTATTACTGTATTATAATGATAACTATAATTTACTGTATTAGTATCAAATTTAGAATCAACTTAAGTTGTTTTTATATTTCATATCAACTTGGGCTACTAACTAAATTCTAAATTTATGATAATTCAATTCCGGACATACGCACGTGCATACGTACGTACGTACGTGTACATATACTGTACGTAGTATTTACGCAACACCATACTTAGTTCACATTTTTGCAACTTAAGGTGTACAGTACCTACCAAAATCAGAAACGGACACACAACATTCTTGATCATAACCTGATTGTGGGTTTTCACATTTTTACATATAGATTTGGATTTGACTAATTAAAATCGTTTAAATGCACAAGCTTATATTTAAATAAAAGAGATTACTAATACTGTAATAATTATTTAAATAAAATCTTTATGGCATATGAATTTGGAAACCATGTTATAATAAAACATATTAATGGGTTCAAAAAAAAAGATTACTACAGCCTTTAAAACAATATCACTTCATTAATAGAGATAAAACCTGTTACATATGTACGTACAAGTTACGTAGTAATTATATGACTATTATGGTATTTATATCATTAGTTACAGCTCATTGGCGTTTGTTTATTTTATAACCTGATTTTTATGGATGTCATAAGTCTGCATCTATGATGGATATATATACAGATATCATACAACAAACAAATACGTAAGTACGTAAGTACGCACATGTTACTACATTTTTACTGTACATCACAATTTTACCTATTTATAAGAGTAACACATACAGAAAGAAAGTCAAATATTCTAAATAAACCAAGGTTAGAGTTCCAATCAGAACCATTAGATTTTAGTAGCATCTAAAATAGGGCTATTTTTTTAGCAAAATAGCTACATAGCAAAGTTGTTTGCGCTAAAGATGCAAAATTTGTTACTTTTTTACTAAGTATGTGACTATTACTTTTGTTCTTAACCTTATTTATATAAACAAGTAATTATATACATGTTTTAATTTACTGAAATAATAGATTTAAAATTCATCAAAAGATATACAACTATAGTCAAACCTCTCTAAATGCACATTGTCAGAACCAGCTTTAGAGCATGCATTTAGGGAGAGTTGCAATTAAAGAACACTAATAAAATCACAATATGACTATTATCACATGATAATTATGACTTTAGTAGGCTAATATAATGGATTTGATTGGTTGACAATCACGTGATTGCATTTATAGAAGAAGTTTTTATAAGTAGGCCAGACAATTAGCATGCACTTACAGAATAAAGAATGTGCATTTATCTATAAGTCCCACCATGGGCCCAGGCTTATATTATATATTTAGAGGGTGCTGTATTTAGAGATGATGCATTTAGAGGAGTTTGACTGTATATTAAAATTTATATTTGACAAACATAAATTTTGTAATAAGCTATTTTGCCAATTTTGCAAAATTTCTAGCTAATTTTGCTAACTATTTTTGCTTTTAACAACTACTAGCTCTAATTCCAATTTATAGAAATCACCTAATAAATTATTTAAATTCATTTAATAATTAAAAATTCTAAAGTAAATAATATTAATTCATTTAGAATAATTACAATTTCTAAAGTAATAATTTAAATTAAGGAAATGTTATTTATATTAGGTGAAAATAAAAGTTTTCTAATTTATATTGTTGATTGCCTTAGAACTTTGCAATCTCTAATGCATTGGATAATCTGGTTAAAATCAATGATAGATTATTTGGATTAAAAAAAGAATAAATTTAAGGTTAAGACGGTAATATTAGAGATATAGCAATAAATTATTATTTGTTATAAAGTATAATTTTTGTTATTAAAAAGATTATAAACCTATATCAACTATTATATTCAAATGATTTATTATAGTTTATAAAATCATATAATATAAATAGAATTATATATAAAAAATATATAAAATTTTTTATTAATTTTTTAAAAAAATCTACCTAAATAGTAAATGAAAATTTCTACAGCAAAAGGATACAATAAATCAAAAAATTTTTTTCTAAACTCATTTTTTTGAAAAATTAGAACAATTAGCTTTCAATTTTATAAAATTTTACAAATTTAAAATTTTGGCCCATTGCACTCTTTTGCTGTGGGTAGTGATTATACCTGTCCTAAAAAGTACAACTCGAGTTACTTACGGATAGACCTGCGGATAACCTAGGTAGACCAACGGGTCTACCTGGGTACAAAGATTACCTGTCAAACCCGGGTCAGAATAAAAAAATTAATACAAGATCTTCATTGATATAAATATATACCGTGAATTAGACCCGCATATAAACAAACTATAGGATCTTTGTAAGCATACTATACCTGGATCTATGATAGATTTTAAAATAGGTAGAATATAGCAGACCTGGGTCTTATATGCAATCTGTTGTGTAGGAACTTAGAAAAAAAAATAGATTAGCAAACTTTGCTAATTAATTTTAATTGTTTAATCAATTTTTAGGTTTGCAAGAATCAAAATTCAGAAAATAAGCATTTACACATCGTTGTTGAATTATGAAACCCATTTTGCATTTTAAAATAATTAAAAACATGCTTTGTGTGTTTAACCCTCATAAATGAAAGCAAAAAAAGAAAGCGCAAAGATCAAACTTTAAAAAACCTTTTCAAAAAAAAGAAACCGTTATAGAATCTAAAGAGCTTGAACATACAATGTATGAAAAACTTATGGATATTGAAGGAGAATGCATTATGCATATTGATCTTAAAATAGCTATGAAATGATTAACAAATTAGAAAAAAATGATATTGAGAATTTTTTTGCAAGTACGTTAATACTTGAGATCGTAAAGTTCTGTGAAAAAGAGACAGCTATTTATATATTCATCATAAAAAAGTGTCATAATAAACAATCAAATCTATTTCAATTATCTATTGGTGCAACTGTCACTGAGCATGAAAAAAGAATTTAAAAAATGATAAAAGTCAACACAATAAAGAGTCACAAATTGAATATTATAAGAATCTTTGGGTGTTGTTTGTATCTCCAGAAATTTCGGTAATTCTCACTGGTGTATATTGTTTTAGGCACTCAATTGTTCTTAAAAAGTCTAATAATCTTCCAAAACAAAATAAATGGCTTTGAAGTATTGATCATTTATTCAAAAAATAGTAGATGATATTAAATATTTCAAGCAAGCAAAAAAGCTTCTGAAAACTTGAAGAGAATGTAATAAGAGCATCTTTATTGGTAGCATTGATTCAGGCTTAAAGCTTTATACGGTATTAAAAAAAATCTAAATATTCAAATTTGAATGTTGGTTGTGAATTTATCTTGAATGAACAATTTGAATAACTAATTTAAATAAATAATTTAAACAAATAATTTGAATAAATAATTTGAATAAATAATTTGAAACTTTGATTATTTTT